GCATAGCAGTTAATTCCTTAATAACATTTCTGGTTTAATATAGAAACCTGCTTAATTATAACAGAAATGCTTCCCACATCTCACAAACCATTTGCTACGTGAAAAGATTTTTAAAAAATGAGGAAAGTCACAAGTATATATATACATATATATATATATATATATTCATGTTCTAAAGAATTTTAGATCATACAAAGGATTCCTCAAACAAGTCACTCATATCAATAAGACATTTACTGCTACTTATTTAAGTGAAAGCTTTATGAGTACTTATATATTATAAAATCATTTCATTTAAGTTTACTTGATTTCACAAGGTTTATTTTTGTGAAGTTTTGCACAACACCAAGGTTTAGCCATATAAATGTAATGTATTTTATTATTTTTTAATATTTTATTTGGTGAATCTCATACATGAACACTACATCAACATCACTCTCTCCCTCCATCTCTCTCCATATTCCACACCACCCAATTCTTGATCGCTTCTTAATTATTGTTGTATGCACATACACACAGAGATACACGTGTGTGTGTGTGTGCAAGCAGATGCACACATGTGCACAGAAGCATATAAAACCTACTGAATCAACTCAGCTTTGTTCATATATACATGTGTCCGTGTCTGATCACTTGAGTTTGGACAGCCTGTGTGGGAGCTATCCCTGGAGAAAACCGATTCTTCCTCTCAGCAGGCATTGGCCATTAAAAATGTGGAATTTTCCCTGACCAGGTCGGTGTAACAACTAGTGTTATCTTTATGCTGGTCTTATTTAGGTATCCAATTGCTGAGTATACTTTAGTGCAGCTTTCCCGTCATATAGAGAAGATGCTGTCTCCTGGTTCCTACAGTCCTTCCAACCCATCATCCAGAATTTTCCCTGAACTTTGTTTATAGTGGTTGTGATAGTGATACAGACATATCAGTTGTGTTGGGCACCCTGCAGTCACTTATTTTATGCATGTTGACCAGTCAAGCATCTCTTTAACAGGCTTTATCTGTGCATGAAGAAGTTTTTGATGAAAGGTGAGAGCTACACTTAACTGAGAGCATGATGATAAATATTTAGAATGCAGTTACCAATTATATTGGCTTAGGAAATAGCAGTAATAGGTTCTCCTCTAATGTCTATGAGTCTCCAGCCACAGGTAGTAGAAGTTAAAGTTACCTGGCTTACATGTACATTACAGATATCTAACTTACAGGTACTTGGCTAAGTCACCAGACATGTGCTTCCTTCTACAGACAGGCCAATGAGAGTGCTGCTGCCTGTCTCCAATATAAAGGTATCAATATTGCACCATTGTGGATGAGTTGATGGTCTAGTCACTGCACTAGTTCACAGGCTTTACAGCAGAGTAGGACTTGTTATATCTGTCTCTTGACAGTTGGAATAGCATCTCCCGAGATTCTGAGACCAGAAGTCACTCCACACAATGGAGAGTTCCAGGTCACTAAAGGGTGTTATACTGAGAGAGACCATCTCAGAACCACAATAACAAAGACTTCATGTTCTCTCTTATATGAGGATCCTAACCCCAAATATTTGTGAGTATATAAGCTGTAGTAACCACAGAAACAAGAAAAGTAAAAAGGGCGCATGGCATGTAAGTAGTAGATGAGAGATTCTAGAAGGGCAGATATTATGATACAGATACTTTTAAGGGGTAATGAGGAAACTTCTGGGATACTTCATTTGGAGAGAGGATGGAAGAAAATGCAGAGGGAGAAGAGGACAGATGTGTGTGTGTGTACATATGCAACTAATTTAAATGAAATCGTGCCATGTGAGCTGAAAATGGCTCCCAATAGCCACAGACTATTTAACAATAACTGCAATGACAAGCAAAAATCATAATGTTGTTCAGGGGAGTCTAAGAGATTCCACAAACAATATAGACTGCTGTCATTTCTCTAGATTACTGTCTAGAACTTGAAGGTAAGACCCTGTTTATGAAATGCTACACTCTTTAGAAACGGGTCTTTAAGGAATGAAGCTAAACAAACGTTTGTGTGAATTTAAAATAAAAAAAATGAGTTAGGGCAGCTTTAAAAATAAGAAAATCAAACATTAACCATTTGAATATTAGAAATGCTATGAACTATTTATGAATAAATGATGTTAGAGTATCAATTTGTGTGTGGGGTTACACCTTGTGTGCTAGTGCATGTAAATGCTCATGGTCTCTGTTTAGTGTTTCTATCTCATTCCAGACAAATGTTTGAAACAAGGTCTCTCACTGAACCCAAACTAGCCCTTCCAGCTAGACAACCACCCATATAATTATGTGCATCCGTAAGCTTTGCCAGCATCTTAGAGGATGCTTGTTGTATGTTAATGATTTTCTATTGTTTAGGTTGCTCTAAAAGATGCTCTTATGTATTCAATTAAATTCATCCTGAAAGCATAGTATAGTAGATTTAAAGTATTTAATCTCTAATGGATAAAATGATGGGCCAAAGAACAGCACTTAAAAGTTCTAAGCAAACATCTGCACTACAGTTTATGACAGGAATACGCTAAGTCATAACCTTATCACTTTTCCCAGAACTTTTCTTCTTTAGATATTGTGGAAAAAATGCCAATTATTGAAAAAGTCATAATTTAATTGCAGGTAGTCCATATTCTGCATGTTTACTTGAAGTACTTTCTGAACGTTATTATATTTATTCGTGTGTGTGTGTGAGTGTGTATGTATGTGTACACCTGCCTCCATCATGTTTCACAGATTAAGGTCAGAAAACAACCTGCAAGACTTTTCTTTCCTTCTGTCTCAATCTCAAGTCATTAGGCATGGTGGACAGGGATAATTCTAATCAATGATCTCATGGGACAGTGTTTTGAAACTGGTATTCTAAAAATACAAATATGTATTCATAAAAATGAGTATTGCAGTGGATTTATTTGAAAAGTTTGTTAGATTAATCTGAGTTGTCAGTTAGAGGAAGTAAGAAAGAAACTGAACTAAGTAAAAAGTATTGTGCCAGCGTTGCGCCAAAGCTTGGAACCTGAAGATGACTAGCAGGGGGGACAGAGAGTGATGAAAGGCCTGCGGTTCAAAGAGGAAATGAAAACGCACATGGCATTAAAGGTATTGATTAATCAGGTCATGGTTCTTCCATAAAAAGACATCAATTACAGACAATTTTTAGTTTAAAGATAATATTCTTCAAATATCTTAATCTTATTTGATCTCTCTCAGAGAAGGAATCAAAAGAAAATACTTCTTATGTATGAGGTTTGTATAATTTCTTGCCAAAATTAAACAGAAGATATTCCTGAAAGGAACATTACATTGCTTCCAAAATTAGATGTGAATACCTAAAAATTCTAATGCATCTTATTAGTTAATAGAGCTTGATTTTACTTGACAGAATTAATTTTGGTATGCTCTATTATTTTGGAATGGATCTCATGATTGTTTACATGAACATATCAGAATGTATGATAAAGTTCAATACTCTTTCAAAGAACATCTTATTAATGGAGAACAGAAAAAGCTTTCCAACCTATTTATGAAAACAGCTAGCATTTCTTTTTTAAAAAATATTATATTAAACATTTTCCAAAAATCACCCTATGAATAGTAACTCAAAAATTAAAGTAAAATTTTAAATTGGTAAGAGAAGAGGTAATAAAATATCCATTTGCTGATTCCATAATTTTTAGCAAAAAGCAAAAATGAAGGGATGTTTCATAATTAATGATGTATTAGAGGAAATGAGTGGTAGAAAAATTCATTAGCATCACCCTGCGGCAAGCAGTGATTAAGGCAAATAGTTTAAGTTTATATGTCTTCATAATTGCCAGCAGTTTCATAATTATCATAGTCCAGCCACATGGCTTTAAGAAAAGTACCCTAGATTGAGCAATTTAAAAACAGCAGACATTGATTTTTCCCAGTTTTAGAGCTGAGAAATCAGAGTCTACGTGTCTACAATCTTTGGGATGTGTTTGCTTCCTCACAGAAGGTTTTTTCTAGCTGTCTTGTGTACTGTGGACAACGTCTAATCCTCCCTCTGGCTACTTAAATGACAGTGATAAGTGCATTAATCAGTACTTTTCACCTGTGATCTAAGCACTCCCTGCCAAAATCCCACCTCAACATTTTGGGACTTAGTATTTCAGAGTACCAATTGATGGGATTGATTCATGAATTCAAAACTGAAAATTAATATTAACACCTAATGCTATTTTATATGAGGATGATATAGCCTCCCCAAAAGACCTTTAACTTTATTTGATGCCGTTTATAACCTTGATATTGGAATGAAAGGCTTGTTTCAATGCTAATGCATTATTTATTTGTCCCTTCCTGTGATTATATATGGGGCAGAAGCAATTCAAAGTAGAAATTAATCTAAGTTCACAATTTCAAAGGAAGTTCTTTTACATCTCTTTATCGATAAAGAAGCAGAGAGCTATGTCATAAATGATGTGGGGTGACCTCTTCAAGGACCACCATAAATGGCACCAACCGCCTGAGTTTCTTCTTCTCCTGCACCTCTGAGAAACAATCAATGGAACACAATAGCCTGCCAAAGGCATTTCAGACCCAAACTTAAACATTCAGGGAAGAAGAGCAACAGAACAGAGTTCTGTTTTAGATATCAGTAGGTAGAGATTATTCAGTATTCTTATATGGAAATATATTAACCGTAATGACATATCTTAATAATCATTATAGCTGGTATGAGAACTGATTGTACACGGATGTTGTTAATGTTGATAGAAGAATCAGAAGACATAAAGCAGTAGTTGGCATTCATCATTCCTTGTAGTTCTACTTGAAAAATAAATTCATCATGCTTTGATTTCATTAGATCCCTCTATGCACCTCAGCACAACCACTCTGCAAATCTCTTAAGGTCAGATTGTGTCACATTTCTCTTTCAACATCTCACAAAATCTATTCGTAATGGCTCGCATATGAATTTAGTCACATATCAAAATTGTAAAGACTTCCTTTTTTTAAGATGTGCTTTTAAAATTTTTCAGAAATTTTGTACAACTCTATAAAAGTGAAGATGACATGGAAATTCCAAAGAAGATTAAGACTCACTGGGCTGCACTGGGCTTGGAAGATACACAGCTTTTGAACTACTCAGTGCTGCTGGATTTCCCTGGGCCCTCTCCAGGCACCATCACGGTGAGCAGCACCGGCCAGTGTTTTTATCCTGATGGCCAACCTTGCAGGGAAGAAGCCAGAAAAGGCCATAGCCAAGATCTGCTCTCCTCATATGCAGCCTATTCTGCCAAAGGAACTCTCCAGGTAATTTGACCATTTGTCTCTGTCATTCTCACTGAAATGGAATTAGAAAACAACAGCTTTCATCTAAATTGAACTAACTGGCAAGGTGCAGCATACAGAAGTAGCCATTAAATATTTTCCATGTAGCAATGCCAGTGATCAAGGAAGGTGGGAAGAACCTGAATCTCTACTTGTCAAATATTGAAGGTGAAAATATGTTAGACAGATTTAATTCAAAAGTGTTGAAGGTGCAACTGAGTTATTCACGTTTTCCTCAGCCCATATATTTCAAGAGAATCTCATTTATGGTTTTGAAGAGGCAAATTTGAATATGTTGATATGTAGAGAGAGAATAGAAATGGCAAGGATTGCATTTGCGATTGTTTATGCACATAGGAAATGAAGAGGAAAATTGATGTGATTATTCACACATTTGGGATTTGAAATGTAGCATGCCTGCATTCATGACAGCAAATGTGTGAAGGGGAGACAGGTGTGCATTATTCCTCCAGCTTTCGGGGTTAGCTAGCTTCTGTGGTTCTTATGGCATTCTGGTTAAGAGCAGGCTAGGGCCATTTGAGTGGATTAAAGCTCATGCTGTGGTTACCTGCTATTTTTCTACCCCTTATGTGATGCTTAGCTGTGTGTGAAGTTTCACTACTCTTTCACTTGTGGACCACTGTGGGAATTAAAATAACTAATCTAAGTGAATCCTGTGGAATAATTCATGACACAGAGTGCACACAACATGAAAACTAGAACTATTGGCATCTTTTTGTAATATGAGGGCCTGTTTGTTGGGTTTTCCGTCCTGCCCAGCTCCTACTGCTGGTAAGCCCCAAAGAAATTCACAGAGGTCTCCATAAGTTCTAAACTGATTGGCCCACTAGCTCAGGCTTCTTACTAACGCTTATGACTTATATAGCCCATTATTAGTCCATTATTATTATCTGTGTTAGCCACATAGCTTGGTACCTTTTTTGGCAGGGTAGGTCACATCTTCCTTCTTCTGTGTCTGGGCAGGACTCTCGAAAGAGCTTCCTTCTTTCCAGAATACTCCTGTTCTCATTGACCTGCCTCTACTTCCTATCTGGTTATCCCACCTATACTTTCTGCCTGGCTACTGACCAATCAGCATTTATTTAAAATATAATTGACAGAATACAATTGTCCCACACCATCTTTTGCTTTAAATAGCAGCTGTTTGGACTCCTATAAAATATCATTTTATCAGACATGCTTAGTCTTTTTAAAATTGTAAATCGTCTAATTGAATACTGATGGTATTTTCCTATATTTCTATTTTTATGCATGTATTTAAGATCTTTATAGTAAACTATAAGGAAAACATGGGACATTTAAAGAATTTAACTTACCATTTACAAATACTTAAAACAATGGGATAACCAAGTCTTGTTATATTGCGACATACATTTTCTTTTCTTTTGGGGTTGCTGAGGTATATAGTAATGCATGTGAACTAGAAGACCATAAGACTTTCATTTTGTGTTGTTTTTCATCTTGGCTTTTATCAGAATTACATATAACAAGTGCAAACTATTGCTTATATTTAATTTAATGTTAAATATATTCACTATTTTCAGCATAGAACTCATTTGATTTGATAAACCATACTTTTCTGGCAATAATGGAAACATTTTAAGTCAATGAAAATACAAGGAAGTAGTCACCATATTTTCCTTGGTTAAGAAGCAGTAAATTTAGGGCAATGTGTGAAAAATTAATCTATTTTGTCTTAGATTCCAAACATGGACCAGAATCACATAGTATCTCTTTCCCCTTTATTCTATTTTTCCCTAGTACATGCAAATCATCTCCCTCTTCCACGAAAGAAACCCAAACCTCAAGAACAACAACAAATAATGATAGAAGTTTAGTAATTCTTTGGACTCATTCCTACCTGTCTGGTTTTCAGTTTCTCCTGTCAAATATTGATGATTTCTTGATCCTTGAGAAGTCATATTCCCTTAACGTGGTCCTCTATGATGATTACCATTAAACTATGTGTTTCATATAGCTGACTGCAGAGGTATATATGTCTCAGAGCTCTGTGTATATTTATCTTAAAAGTGATAGGTGTTAGATACTTTTATTGTTTCTATAATAAACTAAGCTCTCCAGAATATTACATAAATAATTTACACATCAAAATTTACTTGTGACTATTTCATCATTTCAAATATATTTAAGTTTCTAATTTTATTTATTTATTTATTTATTTATTTATTTATTTATTTATTTATTTTGGTTTTTCAAGACAGGGTTTCTCTGTGGCTTTGGAGCCTGTCCTAGAACTAGCTCTTGTAGACCAGGCTGGTCTCGAACTCACAGAGATCCGCCTGCCTCTGCTTCCCAAGTGCTGGGATTAAAGGCGTGCGCCACCATCGCCCGGCTTCTAATTTTAGTAAGAAAGTTTCAAAAATACTAATAAACTAATTATTAAAAAGGATAATTGAAGGTTAGATCATTGTAAAATGTACTCCTTTGACACATTTAGCTTTAGCTATAAGGGTGGATGAAAGACTAAATGCAGTTACACATGAAACAACTCTTTCTATTTAAGATTTTAATTTGTAAAAGTTAGTTGTGTGACTTAGGTGAAGACATTAAAAATAACTATTTTAATATTAATAAATATATTACATACAGTTCATAAATAGATGCATGAAGAAAGTATGTATCTGACATATGTTTTAAACTCAAATGATATGACGAGGATGCTCAACAGTAAAACAGTTCTCGCTGACTCTTGTCTGTGCACACAGAACATGTGCACATTTCTTTTTTACATGTGCATACTTTTTACGTCTATGTTCTAGGGGGTTGTTATTACATTGAAATTCACACAAATATCTCTTAGAAAAATGGTGATTTTCTGTATCTTTGACCATTCCCCAATTTGAGTCAATCTTGAGTGGCTGCTGTTGCTGATTCAGAAACAATTCCTTTCTTATTTTGAGTACATTCTGTGTTCATGAATTTCTATGAGGCAGAGCCATTAACAAGTTTTTAAATTATTCTATTTTACTGCCAGAGAAGCTCCCCAAAACGTTTGCTTTTGACAAGGTTATTTGCAGAGGAGTAGCTACCCTTTACTTTGAAGAGCTGTCATGGCCATTCATCATAAGACTGTTTTGTATCAGTTTCCAATTTTTGTTTTCTGGTAACTGTCTAAAGAGCATTTGTGATATCTGTTATCTACTCTGCAAACCTACTTAGTGCCAGCATGATGGATTGTGTGCCTTGCAAATTTTTTGTAATTCATTGTGCATTAGAAAGGTGACATTGTTTACCCACAATAATGACAGGTAGGTCAGTAAAAGGGTCTTAAGGGGATTGCCTTGTAAGATGCAAAATACATATTAAAATGGATATATAAATAACATGTGTGTGTTTAGCACTAGGAAATATTAAAATGTTTATGTTTTACTGAAATAAGAATAGCAACAAGAATATCATCACAGGAGTAAAGACATGTTCATAAGGTTTTAACATAAGTAATTAACTTTGTATACAGAAAATATGACTTTTAGCTTATTGATGCAAAATCATTTCTTTTGTCTTATTTGAAGTTTGATTGACTTAGATCAAAAGAACACAATTAATATTTAATAGTTTTGTCTCTACTATGTCTTGCTTTTGAGGCAGGGGATTGGTTTATAGACCCAATATTTTAGGGATGTGGTCTGTTTTCCTTCTGTAAAGTTTCATCTTTGCTCAGGAAGCAATTCAAATAATGTAATTTTATGGGGAATCATATCTTCAACAACACATTGACTATGCATAAAATACATTGTTATTGATATATTTATTTGGTCTCTATTCCACAGACTAAACTGAACTAAAGAATTTATAGTCAGCTGCACAGATGTGGAATCATTGAGTCTCCTAATCCTTTAGGGCCTTGTTCATGTCATGGGGATAAATGACATTTACATAAATGGTTGTTGTTGGGTAGAAATGCCAAATCATAGTAAGGGTCTGGTACTTGGAAATATTCAATTAAAAATAACACTTATTATTATTTGGAAGAAAGTAGACATTTTAAATAAAGAAGTTATGGAAACATCAAAATGCTCTTAAGATTTTGAAAATTCAGATTTATTATATTTATCTTATATGTGTGAATGTAACCTTCCATATTTCTGTTTACCATGCCAAATATTAATAATTAGGAAAAATGCTTTTATGAATAAAGCATAAAACATATATTAACTTGATGTCTTAAGCAATGCAGAAATGAAATATTTGATTTGTGAGTAAAGAGTTATCCATGGTATCAAGTTGGACATGGTAAGTATGGTTTGCTGTTATGTGTAGCTCCCATGGCACAGTAGTTTATCAGATGAAATCTGAACACAATATCAAATATTTGGATGGAAAGTCTTAAAGAGAAAAAAATAACACTTCTAAAAATGGCTCCCATAACTCGTACTCTGTTTGATTTTTTTTTTTTTCATGGCTGGGGAATGGAAAAAGGCAGAAGTGCATATACTTGTTTTTAATTGATAAAAATTGCAGAACTCTGGAGGACACGAACAGAAATTTATTATTTAAATAGTGGGTGCATGACCTTGAAGATGAAGTTTTCATGCCACCAACATAGCAACATGGCCCCAGACAGCTCTGTAATGTTGACAAGGGTCTAGCATTTCCCTAGCCTTGTTTATTTTTCTCTTGTTGGTTCCATATTTTGGTAACCTTTATAAGTCAAAGACAAATGAGTGAGAAGATATCTACATGCATTTTTTTCTAATTTTAAAAATTGACATTTGATGTTTTAGGCAAATATGACCTTCTGTTTCTGGTTTCAGATGATATGTTTGCTACTCAGGTGAGCTTTGCAGCAATGTAACAGATAGATTATTTGTGATATCTTCACAACAAATGTGGGGTCTTTAGTGTTAAAATGTTTAAATATACACATTTTAATTTGACTGCATTATATCAAGGATTTTTTTTTTGAGACATGGTCTCTCTATAGAACTTTGACTGATCTC